AACTTCTTTTTTGAGATAGACTGTGGTACGCTAAGTCGTATATTGATAGATATAATCTCCGATTCAGCTGCTCTATTCGGAAAGTGAGTGCATCAAAATAATCGTGAGACCGAGAACTTAGTATCACAATATGACGTACAATTCTCAGTCTCGTTACAACTGAACAGTGCATTCACAAACTGGTTATTCAATGGATCTAAAACAATTGGACGTTCCTAAAAATCATAATCACTAGAGTCGATAAGTATTGTATAATATCAGAACTCCGTAATTCTACTGCGTTCTTCGTATGAAATTCCACAGCACAACATCGGTTTTTGAATGAGCGAACTGTATACATCGCACAGTATATGCAGAGATTGTACCACATCACAACATGACATGATCTCCTTTCACATTATCGCTCCTGTTACGTGCTTCGTGATGAACTATTGCGACGAAGGTATTAAGAAATCGGTCATATACAGTTAGTTAGTGCATACAAGCGGTAGGGTTGTTTCAAGCTTGGAGGTTACCTACACGCCGAGTACCAGCTGTTTGAGTTCGACTATTTGCTGAACGTATGAGCGTATCACGACAATGAATTTAAACACTACAAACGAACTGTGGTTCTTGAATTGCCGGAACTACTTATAAAGACCACAGTTACTCCTTTTTATGAATTAATAGCTTCTGATACCATCATCCGAAACAGGTATCATCACTTTATTGGTTAAATAAGAATGTCAAAATTAGAAAAGGATAACGGTATCGATCTTTACTCGGTTAACTGTATGGTTTTGATTGCTTTTATGCATTAAAACTATTGCTTTCAGCTGTAACTGAATTCAATTTCAGTTGAAGTAACACTAAGAGCATTGACTTTCTTCCGAAGAGTAGTTTTGCGTCAGTATTTGTTGTCTATTGGTTCTTTTTTAGGTTACTATACGTTTGGACTTAAGAACGCGCGGTCCATTTTTTCCAAATCATCACTTTTGTATTTAAATGTCTATTTCACTTTTATACTTCTCCCTGATTACGGGGAGGAAAAGACCCCCTGTTGAATGTGATATGCAACAAAGTGAGTGCAAAGAGAGGCACCATGAAGTTTTCTAGAAACTTACACCTGCAGCTTTCAGACGTTTCAGCGAAGTGAAAAAGTTTAGTTGGGCCATCAGTGAGGCTTGGATACAAGAACTTGATATATGATGCCATTCCAATACTGAATGCCACTGAAAAGCATTTAAGTAAGCAACATCAACAAGTCCAGTGCATCCAGGTTTCTAATGGTGGTCTAAGACTGATCGATTCATGGTTTCAAAAATGTGAGACCCTATAAGCCTAAGTAGTGCGGTGATGAAACTTTTATAAAAGGTCATTCAAAAGGGGTTATTAAAGTGCCTAGACGAAAATCAGATTCTTTCTGAGGAATAGTACAGCTCTAGAACAGTTAACTCAAGTCTTACAAGCCTGTTAGTAGCCCGTGAAATTTTATGATCCTTCAAAGATCGAAGTCTACTTTTAGATCTTGCTTTCCGTGACTTTAGAAAGGTTTTCACAAAGGCTGTCACAACTGGCTTTAAACAAAAAAGAGTGGTATCCAGTTTGGAGGCAATTTATTCAAGGGGATAACAGATCCCCTAGTTGAGCGTCATGAAGGAGAACAGGTTAACTCCAAGTTGTCTGGTTCGGATACTGTGGTTAAAGGGGTGCTTCATGGTAAAATTTTGGAGCCGTTGTTGTTCCTTCGTGTGTAAATAACCCTCCTAATCCTCTGTCTTTATCGGTTTTGTCACATGCTAACAATATCAAGATAAAAGAGAAATGTGAAAAGTGAAGGTGATAGTTCACATCTTCAAAATTTCCACAGAACTTATCTGAATTTGGCCTTTGTGATGAAGGCTCCTAAGTGTATCATGACGTAAATCTGTCACTAAGGTACAGATAAATGAACGGTGAATAACAATGAGCTATCTGTTATCCAGACGAACATTGACCTAAATGTCAGCTAGCCAAAATTAGAAAATTACAGAGCACTGTCGTGAGATAGCTGTCAAAGTTTTAGAACTCCATAGTTTATACGTAGATATTTACAGGGAAACATTTGTAGAATCCATTTTGAAGGCTTTGGTTTGAGAAAATCCCTCCATCTACATAATTTTAATGTTCTTGCTGACTCTTTCTGCACTACATTTTGGTACTCCGTTTAATCCCATTTTGTGATGTTAATATTTGTATTTTGTTACAGTTTCTATTTTTGTACCTTTATTGGAGTTTCTGTAATTCTACTGAGCTGTATTATGTTGTTTAAATTGACACTTAATTATGGCGTCAGCCACATCGGATTTGATACCCTGGAGGGGAAACGTACGTCTGGACTGGAAGGGTGCAATTTTGGGCCTGAACGGAAGAATTATTCCGGAATTGGAAGCACATTGTGTTAATTTAGAGGGAGAACAGTGAAATATTGTTTAGGTAATGATCCATAAATTTTAATTAATAGTAGAACCGTTTCTTACCCAGGTAAATTGCTTTCTTTTTTTTTGGATATTCAGGAAAAGCGCGTATCTAAACTTCTAGAACAGTTCTCCCGAATTCAGAGGCCACTCTGAAACTTACAAATTAAAAACTTCTCAGACTCAGAAAATATTACTTGTTATCTGATTACCGACCATTCCAACGAACCGTCAGCAAATGAAAGTCGTAACTCTAGAATAACCTAGTGAATTTATTTTTCTTCCTTTAGACGTTCGGGAGGGAATGTCTCTTGTTTAAGGAGCTGTTGCGAATCTAGCGAGTCTCTAAACAGGTAGTGAACAAAGAGTTAGGTCAAAACCTAAGGTGAATGAAGATGTGTTGTCAAGACATATTTGCTTACCGTGTGACCCGTTCATCAGTATTTTTACAACAAACATGGAGGGAACTAGAAAAGTAGTTTTCATCGCTGAAGACGCTGAGATAGTCGATCATGTTGTCAGTACTATGTCCCATCTATAGTACTTATCACCTTTAAAGCATCACTGATTCCTGTGGTGGAAGAACCATGAACACGATGCTTAGTGGAAACAGTAGGCTGTTAGACAATTAGTCTGATGACTCATTTCTACTAGTCTTAAGTTTTCGAAGACTGAAGTTTCATTCTCTGGTTAGGAGTACATAACCATAGCACATAACGTGACACAAATATACAATAAATACTGTATTTAATTTATTTTCTCACTATTATTATTAATTTTAATGCTGTTCGTGGTAAGAATATGCCGGCTGGAGTTCTGTAACCTTTTGAGGAATATGTGAAACAACCCTGTGGATTTCCAGACAGTTTCCTGCATTTCCGTCTATGAGTATGTAAAAATGTTTGCAACAGTGCAATAGCCTACAGATAAAGAAGGTAACGATTCACGCCATATTAGGGACATTTTTCAGCTTTTTTGGTGTAGGTTCAATGTGTTTCCATATAGCAGATATTGAAATAAACTGTTAATTTCCTAAAACCACGGAAGTTTTGCTGACAACATGTTACGCATGCACGTAAACATGTCATTTGAGGTGCTAGAGCTATGGCCAGTTTACCTTAGTCGGAAAATGTGAGCGAGGATCGAGGATCCGGCGACACAACATGCTACTCTAATCTGAGTGTCCTAGCTTCCATTGAGTTAAAGAAGAAGACTTGATGTGATGTAGAACTTGTATTCTGCGAACATCCAGAAAGTACGAGGTCCGAATCCAGGATCCCGGACTAAGGATCCGGGTCATAAAACGTTACAGATAATGAGTATTTATACATTTAGGTCAGATGGGTAACAGCATCGAAGTCTGTGAGATTGACAGTTAAGACGATCAATAGGAAAGACATTTGGAGTGATATTAATAGTCAGGACGACCGATAAGAAACAGTGTTGAAGTACGTGAGCTTGATAGCTAGGACGACTGTAATGTCGATCAGTGGGAATCGACCAATAGGATTTACACTTACACTCGTATGAAGCTTGGAATCACTCTTTCAGCGTGTATTCGTAAATTCTTTGTATCGGAAAGCAATGAAAATGGGAGTATGTCGAAGAGAGACTATTGCTGAACGTATGAGTTTGATAAAAACTTACATTAGCACTTATTACACTTTACAAGTAGTCTTTGTTTGATCTTACGAACTAATGAATGTACCCTAAAAAGTGGCGACCAGATTTCTTCTGAGCCTAAGACTACTGAATGACAAGCTATCAGAAGCCATTAGGATAAAATGAACACTTAACAATGACTTTGGATCTGACACAAACTTGCTCTCCTTTTCCTATGAAACGGCAGACTTACTGAATAAAACAATTGAAAACCTGGGTATAGTTTCCAGTTGACTTAATCGTAAGGGATTGGGGCTCCCAACCTCAATATGCGTGATTCTTAGTACACGAAATAAGCCAAGACGTCGACAATTACATTCATATCGACCGAAAGACCACTAGAACTAGCATAGGTTTCATCATAAGCAACAGACTGACACAAGCATCCACTTGAAAGTTCGGAATACTAAGAGTACCCAAACATATAAATAAGTTAGTGGTACGGATGGAACAGGGTCACTACTTCAAATTATGACGAAATATATAAACTGATGCTCGGATAGACTAAGTGCGGGCTTATTGTTACCAGATCATGACTAGGCCCGAAGTATCAGCTATACCAAATGCACGGTGCAGGATTACGTACGTCAGTTCAAGTTGCCATACCACAGCATAGAAGATTTAATGGCGTCAGTCACTTACCTAACCACCGCCAACACTACCGCACGAGGTCAAATGAGATGGATACAATACTACAGTCAGAAGCGCAAACAATGCGATAAGCCATCATGCATTACGAATAATAACCACGTAAGCGGACCCCCAACAAACATTACCGTCATAAAGCTGAGCCTTTTACACAGCTACTAATCTAGCGCAATGAGGTAATTTACGTCTAGCCTGATGAACTACTACGAATTATCAGGAAGATTTTAGGTTCATATACATATACTGAAGACGTGAGCGAACCAAGGCGATGAACTTTAAAGACGGATAACCAAGACTCACTGAAAAAAAGATCGGGAAATTCCCGATAAGTATGATCACGAGGATCTGGTTACTTGAAGCATTAAAACTGTTCTTGGTTGGCTCCGAAACCGCAACACAGGTGCGATTAGCAGAAGTTTCACGACAACTGGGGATTCTTAATCGCGGCTAACGAGTAGCGCCAGACGGAGGACATGTAGAGAGCATGACAACTACATAATTGGAAGCTCTCTAAAACCAGTAAGGGACGAACTCTTGACAACGCCTGGTACTAACGAGTAGGCTGATATGAAGAAAAATAAAAGGAAAACATGAGTCCTCACATGATTAACTTGCAAATAATAAAATACTTTCCGTTAAACATTTATTGTCAAATTACATCAAAAGATCATTTTATGTGGATAGTCCCTTTTTCCTAATGAAAATAGTGAACGCAAGTAAGCGTGCAGAAGTTTCGAGTCAGGGTGACTTTTTATTGATGCACGGATTTGCTTGTCCACTAACTTTTGATCTTCCTTCCGAATGTCGCTGACAGAGTACTTCTGAAAAGAAACAAAATTTTTAATAACCCGGAAATCGTGGATCAGATGCAAGGTTATTTAAAATTTAAAGGTAGAAAGCCAGGAAGGTTAGTAGAGATTACGTGAATAACCCACCTTTGTCTCAGTACTGAACAGTTTTTCGGCCTCAGTCTTATTCTCCTTCAAATCAACACGTCGGAAGTACTCGTCATCAATGTGCTTGGGTATCTCGAATTTAGAAATATCTATCCGTGTTGAGGTTGCAATCACATAACACTGATTTACTCTTCGAAGGGGGACACCATTATACTTGAAAGGTCCTGAGCGATAATTAGCATGTATCTTAAAACCCACCAGTAACAAGAAGCAACCCACTCTTTAGAGCTTTGAGGAAGACAACACGCTTGCCCTTATGCGGTCCGGCAAGCAGGATAAGTACAGTTCCTGGCTGAATTGTGGACCGAATCTTTCGAACATGTTGGGAGTAGCATTTTGTTTTCCTCAAACGTAGCTTCCGCTTACCCTGTTGTGCTAAATAACTACGAGGCTTCATTAAAAAATAATATCAGAAAAAGTTATTTTACAAATCTAAATTTGGGCTTCTCCGGCGCTTCTTTTACTTTGGTAGTCCTTAGACCAGACAATTCGGTTTTCCCTTCTTTCTTACGTTGCACATTTACTTTGGCTATGAACTTCTGATGATGATGTTGTCTCTTGGCTGATACCCGTTTTCGCCTGATGGAACACTTAGCCTCAGACATGACGGTCACGAGATGGAAATACGAAAGAAGCGGGTGGTATCACGACAATGAATTTAAACACTACAAACGAACTGTGGTTCTTGAATTGCCGGAACTACTTATAAAGACCACAGTTACTCCTTTTTATGAATTAATAGCTTCTGATACCATCATCCGAAACAGGTATCATCACTTTATTGGTCAAATAAGAATGTCAAAATTAGAAAAGGATAACGGTATCGATCTTTACTCGGTTAACTGTATGGTTTTGATTGCTTTTATGCATTAAAACTATTGCTTTCAGCTGTAACTGAATTCAATTTCAGTTGAAGTAACACTAAGAGCATTGACTTTCTTCCGAAGAGTAGTTTTGCGTCAGTATTTGTTGTCTATTGGTTCTTTTTTAGGTTACTATACGTTTGGACTTAAGAACGCGCGGTCCATTTTTTCCAAATCATCACTTTTGTATTTAAATGTCTATTTCACTTTTATACTTCTCCCTGATTACGGGGAGGAAAAGACCCCCTGTTGAATGTGATATGCAACAAAGTGAGTGCAAAGAGAGGCACCATGAAGTTTTCTAGAAACTTACACCTGCAGCTTTCAGACGTTTCAGCGAAGTGAAAAAGTTTAGTTGGGCCATCAGTGAGGCTTGGATACAAGAACTTGATATATGATGCCATTCCAATACTGAATGCCACTGAAAAGCATTTAAGTAAGCAACATCAACAAGTCCAGTGCATCCAGGTTTCTAATGGTGGTCTAAGACTGATCGATTCATGGTTTCAAAAATGTGAGACCCTATAAGCCTAAGTAGTGCGGTGATGAAACTTTTATAAAAGGTCATTCAAAAGGGGTTATTAAAGTGCCTAGACGAAAATCAGATTCTTTCTGAGGAATAGTACAGCTCTAGAACAGTTAACTCAAGTCTTACAAGCCTGTTAGTAGCCCGTGAAATTTTATGATCCTTCAAAGATCGAAGTCTACTTTTAGATCTTGCTTTCCGTGACTTTAGAAAGGTTTTCACAAAGGCTGTCACAACTGGCTTTAAACAAAAAAGAGTGGTATCCAGTTTGGAGGCAATTTATTCAAGGGGATAACAGATCCCCTAGTTGAGCGTCATGAAGGAGAACAGGTTAACTCCAAGTTGTCTGGTTCGGATACTGTGGTTAAAGGGGTGCTTCATGGTAAAATTTTGGAGCCGTTGTTGTTCCTTCGTGTGTAAATAACCCTCCTAATCCTCTGTCTTTATCGGTTTTGTCACATGCTAACAATATCAAGATAAAAGAGAAATGTGAAAAGTGAAGGTGATAGTTCACATCTTCAAAATTTCCACAGAACTTATCTGAATTTGGCCTTTGTGATGAAGGCTCCTAAGTGTATCATGACGTAAATCTGTCACTAAGGTACAGATAAATGAACGGTGAATAACAATGAGCTATCTGTTATCCAGACGAACATTGACCTAAATGTCAGCTAGCCAAAATTAGAAAATTACAGAGCACTGTCGTGAGATAGCTGTCAAAGTTTTAGAACTCCATAGTTTATACGTAGATATTTACAGGGAAACATTTGTAGAATCCATTTTGAAGGCTTTGGTTTGAGAAAATCCCTCCATCTACATAATTTTAATGTTCTTGCTGACTCTTTCTGCACTACATTTTGGTACTCCGTTTAATCCCATTTTGTGATGTTAATATTTGTATTTTGTTACAGTTTCTATTTTTGTACCTTTATTGGAGTTTCTGTAATTCTACTGAGCTGTATTATGTTGTTTAAATTGACACTTAATTATGGCGTCAGCCACATCGGATTTGATACCCTGGAGGGGAAACGTACGTCTGGACTGGAAGGGTGCAATTTTGGGCCTGAACGGAAGAATTATTCCGGAATTGGAAGCACATTGTGTTAATTTAGAGGGAGAACAGTGAAATATTGTTTAGGTAATGATCCATAAATTTTAATTAATAGTAGAACCGTTTCTTACCCAGGTAAATTGCTTTCTTTTTTTTTGGATATTCAGGAAAAGCGCGTATCTAAACTTCTAGAACAGTTCTCCCGAATTCAGAGGCCACTCTGAAACTTACAAATTAAAAACTTCTCAGACTCAGAAAAAATTACTTGTTATCTGATTACCGACCATTCCAACGAACCGTCAGCAAATGAAAGTCGTAACTCTAGAATAACCTAGTGAATTTATTTTTCTTCCTTTAGACGTTCGGGAGGGAATGTCTCTTGTTTAAGGAGCTGTTGCGAATCTAGCGAGTCTCTAAACAGGTAGTGAACAAAGAGTTAGGTCAAAACCTAAGGTGAATGAAGATGTGTTGTCAAGACATATTTGCTTACCGTGTGACCCGTTCATCAGTATTTTTACAACAAACATGGAGGGAACTAGAAAAGTAGTTTTCATCGCTGAAGACGCTGAGATAGTCGATCATGTTGTCAGTACTATGTCCCATCTATAGTACTTATCACCTTTAAAGCATCACTGATTCCTGTGGTGGAAGAACCATGAACACGATGCTTAGTGGAAACAGTAGGCTGTTAGACAATTAGTCTGATGACTCATTTCTACTAGTCTTAAGTTTTCGAAGACTGAAGTTTCATTCTCTGGTTAGGAGTACATAACCATAGCACATAACGTGACACAAATATACAATAAATACTGTATTTAATTTATTTTCTCACTATTATTATTAATTTTAATGCTGTTCGTGGTAAGAATATGTCGGCTGGAGTTCTGTAACCTTTTGAGGAATATGTGAAACAACCCTGTGGATTTCCAGACAGTTTCCTGCATTTCCGTCTATGAGTATGTAAAAATGTTTGCAACAGTGCAATAGCCTACAGATAAAGAAGGTAACGATTCACGCCATATTAGGGACATTTTTCAGCTTTTTTGGTGTAGGTTCAATGTGTTTCCATATAGCAGATATTGAAATAAACTGTTAATTTCCTAAAACCACGGAAGTTTTGCTGACAACATGTTACGCATGCACGTAAACATGTCATTTGAGGTGCTAGAGCTATGGCCAGTTTACCTTAGTCGGAAAATGTGAGCGAGGATCGAGGATCCGGCGACACAACATGCTACTCTAATCTGAGTGTCCTAGCTTCCATTGAGTTAAAGAAGAAGACTTGATGTGATGTAGAACTTGTATTCTGCGAACATCCAGAAAGTACGAGGTCCGAATCCAGGATCCCGGACTAAGGATCCGGGTCATAAAACGTTACAGATAATGAGTATTTATACATTTAGGTCAGATGGGTAACAGCATCGAAGTCTGTGAGATTGACAGTTAAGACGATCAATAGGAAAGACATTTGGAGTGATATTAATAGTCAGGACGACCGATAAGAAACAGTGTTGAAGTACGTGAGCTTGATAGCTAGGACGACTGTAATGTCGATCAGTGGGAATCGACCAATAGGATTTACACTTACACTCGTATGAAGCTTGGAATCACTCTTTCAGCGTGTATTCGTAAATTCTTTGTATCGGAAAACAATTAGAAAGGGGATTATGTCGAAGACATAAATATTCTGTGTTCGCTGTCCTGCCAAGACAACCTGAAATATGTCTGTTCAGTCACTTACAGTAGGACCTCTGTTCACATTAAATATTGGAAAAGACAAAGTGAATAATATTATTGGTGTTTTCAAATTAAATTTTACTGCTCTCTCTGAACTTTGGACTTCAATGTACGGACATCTGGCTTCTTACTTCAATTTCTCTTCTATCCACTTGACACACATTACAACCCATTATCCTTCATTGATGTACTTCCTATTACTGCATGTTGCTACAATTTATCCTTATTTTAGCGGTCTCTATGAATACTATCTTCATTTAACATTTTGAGATGGTGGATAAAATTTTTAGCTCAGGTGGTGTTTCGTTCTCTGAGCTGGAACTTCAGATGGCAGTTTGTGCTGACGATGTTGTTCAGAAGAACAATGAAAGCTTCACAACCAAAATATCCAGATCAGAGAATGAAATAGCACCACAATCACTTACCATTGCTCTGTTTTTTTCACCATGAATGGTCAAGCAATGCTCTGGTTATACGTATAATATTGCTCTTTTTTCTCTTCTCTCACTTTTTTGCCTTCTCGGAACATCCGTGGTACCTCTGCACAAACGCACCTTACGTGCATGCACGTCTAGGTCACAGCGCCTTCCGATCGACGCTTCCCGACAAATTCACTCCTGATTTGTACTAATCACCCGAGAACTCTATTGCTACCTACCCCAGTCGTACCCAATTGTTGAGAATATGGTTGTATGAAACTGTTCTGGTGTAAGTTTGCTGTTAGGAACGTACTCTTGTTTTTAATCTCACCGTCCAAACCCTTACAGAAAATGTCGCAGCATTTGTAAGCAGCTGATATTGCCTGTAAACTTATATGCCTCATGTAACACGCTGTTACTTGATATGAAGTATATATTATTATAAACTGTAACTAATTGATCTATGTTACAAGGAAAATATTTTGAGTTCAGGATGAATGAACACAATAGGCAATTTGAAAAGTTTTACCATTAACACGGCTAAAGATTATCTGTTAACTTTGACAAGTAATGCACTGCAGTGTGTAGTGCTTTCCCAGTTTTGGTTATCCATTGTCCCTAGATCCTTGTATGTCTAGATAGTAGGTAGCTTGATCTAATTTATCTTTTATGTTTGTTTAACATGGTGACCGGTATACATCTTGGAGCTTACATGAGTATTTATCGACAAATGCTGATTTCTAGACCATCAGTTTGAGGAACGCTTTGATGCATTGAATTTCGAATTCGTGTATTTTTGCTTTTAGCTGAATCGATTTTGTTGAAAACTGCAGAGAAATCAAGAACTGGAGCTGAGTGATCATTATTACATAACAGTGGCATGCAGTCGATAGACCTAGGGAGATAAAGGGATTTCTGCAGACGTGTTTTATTAGCGGAAACAAGTTGTGAAATAAATAGCTTATATAAAAAGCAAATACGAGCTTCCGCCTGAAAAAATATTTATTTACAGAAATACTCAAAGAAACCTAAAACACTATTGATGGCTCAGCCAATTACCTCCATCGTAACTAACAAGCATGATGAAATGTAACTGAAGCCATATGGATTCATGTTTTTACTGTGCTTCTCGGATTCGAATGTTTATTTCTAAAAAAATCAGAATAGAGTAATAAGATACATTGCTTTCATATAAGCTATCTGAGTGTCTCCAATGAAATTTACTGATGTGTTTGTAGAGATCTACTTTTCTGAAGAGAACGCGATTGGTGTAATGGAAACATTTATCATTATAATCCATAGTAACAGTGAGTGTTTTGTTGTACCATTTTGTTTATCTGTAACAAAAACACATTTTCCGTTGTTTTTGATCCCGGCCCTACTCATGTACACACGGTAGTGCAACGGAGTTAAAATCACTATGCAATATGGTGCTAACCCATTCTGTTTTCTTTCTATTGCAGGGCGATTAAACGTAAATGCTTTGGAAGCTGAAGAACAAGCCATGCGTACTCTGAACTTACGGGCTGGCTCATACAACATGCAAACCCTTTCCTGTGCAAAACCCGCGTTATTTAATTTTTAAATAAACAGTCCCGTGGCTATCACTTAGTGTTCTATTTTGGTGTGAAGTGCTCAGCTAATCTTGTGTGTTGTGATTTTAGATCTTATCCGCCCTTCAGTGACTGCTGATTACACGTGTTACAGTAGTATCGCCTGTAAACTTTGGCATGATCTCGGTATTATTCCAATTCCACGAGATAGCCAACAAATATATTCTAACTACAATCTCCAAGTCTCCTTCTAGCATTTATTCTACTGAGGGATTTAACCTGGTAATTAACACGTAATTGGTCTGTAGTGGAGATCATAATCCATTCCGACTTGACACATGGTCTACAGAAAAGTTCATTTGTTTATGAAGGATGATAGAAAAATCTGCAAATCCAAACACATACAAGTCGAACTTTAGAGAAAACGCCATCTTCATACATATGATTACAACATAAAAGCAGTGGCCCTGTTGAAAAATAATCATTAGTGGACGTTCAGTGCTCAAGGCAAATGATTCCGTTAAAAGACTGAAAATTTTAGGGTGTGAAGTTGTTTAGAAATGGGATTATAGCCATTAAATGTTTGGTTTTTTTTTGAAAAACATAATAAGACTTGATTGACAAGTCTTAGAAATGTAACATAAATCCTACAGACTAAATTTATTCGCCTTACAATATGAGTTTAAAGTGTTTACAACGCATGTACACCAGTAACTGTCTAAGACCTTGGCAGTAAGCTGAAAAGTATGAATTTCAATAGACATGGTGAAATTCTGCACATGAGCGATAATGTCTGAAGTTAACTTCTTTAATGTGCCTCGGCTAGCTCTCCTCGTTTTCAAATGAAATCCTATGTCGTATAACTGTTTTCATTTGACATTGTCTATTTGCCTCATTACAAATCCCCAGAAGTTCGGGTAGTCTTTTCCCATCACAGAATACTTGTCATCAATGATTACCTGATAATTAAGCAAGAGGTAAGAGGCAAGAGGTATTCGTATTCTTTACCACACCTGGATCGGAACAAATGAGAAGACATAGGAGCAGTCAGTAACTGAAAATATCTAATCTTGGTGCCTATCACTAAGTATGTTACTTATATTTCGTACCTAACAATGATTTGTCCATACCAACCTTCCAAAAGAGTACCGAAAACCCGACGAAATCACGAGTCAATAACAAATGAATTAGATAATATATTTTTCGAGCATTTAGGTCTCCCCGTTTAAGGATAGCATTTTCTGAGGTATCCTAAGGTTAGGAAACACCACTAATCAAAATACTGGGTGTAAAGTGACTGTTAAACTGATGCAGTAATGACTTAACCACTGTGAGGAACTGCGCATGGGAGTTGGTCACAGCATACTTTTGGAAGTCAGCTTTTAGATAGTAGAACCAGAGTTCGATATTATCGGGTTTTGAATAGTATGAGTTCAAAGGTTGGGGAGGTAAGATCCCTAACTTTTAATATCTTAGGTGTGGATATCTATACAGTGGAGAATCCTAAATCCAGTCATTTCAGAGGTTAAGAGTGAATGAGTTGGATGATATATTTGGGATGGTGTTATAATATTGAGAAGTGAATAATCTTAGCTGGCTAGCTGTTACAGCTGATACCTAGCAAGGCGTACCTAATTTAACTTTGGTGCAGATGCCTGACCAAGCGTCTCTAGCTAGGGTGTGTTATATCAAACTAACGAGGTCAGCATTTATGTAGAAGACTATATATTTGGGGGATTTAACGTCACGTTTTCTTCTAGCTTTGTAGTGGTAAAGAAATTGTTGCCAGTAGAACCAATGTTTACGCCTTTTGAAGACTGAATGTGAACGATACTAAATTTGTGACAGAAAAGAATTTTTTCAGTCAAGGAACAAATCTGAAGTCGTAAAGTCATTGATGCATGCTTGATACATGTCTTGAGTCATGTTAGTTGTTATTATTGCCATCTCCTCAGATCGCTGAATTAATCTGTCTAGCTTATCACTTCCGTTCCTCTTCCTTGCTTCCGTTCCAGTCCTCTCGCAAAATCTTCATTACCAATTTACACACTAAATTGTCCATTTATTTACTTAGTTCTGAAATCTTATTAGCGGTAGAATTTTCTCCTTATTATTCTCCAGATTGCAACTTACTGATTCCCGTCTTGGTGATGTGATCGCTGCTAGCATCCAGAAGCCTTACTACCGTGAGACTGACGTATTCATTCAAAAAACGAGACAAACTCGCAAACAACTTACAACTGAATAGAACCAGGAAGTCGAGTGGCTAGACCCACATTCATTGGAAATTACCAAACACATGGAACCGTATCAAAGGAGCAAGAATGGAGTGCAGAAAAATTAATTGGTTTATACTAGCTCGTGAAAAAGATATTGTATATTGGATATTGGAAAACTTGATGAAACATGAAACATTGTAGCCTAAGTTCAAGGTTGTGTCGGAGTCACTTCTCTGTGGTATGAAGTGATTAGTATCTGCTAGACTAAGTTTACATTGATCTGAAGCTTAAAAGTACTAAATTTTTGACAGTCTGATTCTTTTTCATACATGCGAGTGGAATTTTTGTACTAGTTAACTAACAGGCTTTCAGTATTTGAGGTAATAAGTTGGACTACTAATCATTTACGTGGCTGTTCTTTGATTTGATAAACTAGACTTAAGTTTTTTCGAGAGTCTCTTGGGAACGAATCATTAGAGCTCATATGAACTCGATTCATGGTTTTAACCATAATAAATCGTTCAAATTTCTAGGTGTATGTTCTGTTTTAGCTACTTTGTTATCAACAACGGGTGAGATACATCAAGTTGTGTATTCTGTGTCGCAGACATTTAAATCCTGGTGGAAAAATGATAGTAATGAAGAGCGTTGTTTGCGCAAATGATTCATGCTAATCAGCTTGGATCAGTTATCTACAAATATTACTCAATTACTAAAACCGCAATGAAGAACCAGAGTAAAACGATGATTATAGTTTTAAGTCAATGTAAAATGTAACTCCTTAGTGCTAGTTCTTAAGGTGGCAGTCTAATCGATTATATACAGCAGATATGGTTCAAAAACGTGAAACTGGTTTTTCCGTATATCTTACTCAGTACCTATGTCTGTTGACTTAACTGTGAAAATAGTGATCCAACCCGGTACTCTGTATTTAATGAGCTGTTATAAGCGTAAAAAGAGATTGGAAAAAACAAAAAAGTATTTCGTCCCTTCGAAAGTTTGTGATTTTCATCTTCATATTAAGCAACACGCGGTTCACCTAAATCATGGAGTTATCTAAACGCTCTTGTGTTTATTTTTGCTCAAGTTATTATTTGGATACTTCACTTTCTATTTCTTGTTCTTACTATTGCTTCTTGGTGCTTCTCTTTCAATTTTTGTTTTTGTTTGTGGCATTACCAAGCGCTAATAATCCATTAATTGGATTTTTTATCATAATACTTGTTGATTTCGCTGTTTACATTTACACCAGTGGTAGTTTTTATACTTTAGGATTTCTAAATTCAAATTTAGTTGACAAATATCTCATTGTAAACTTTTAGTCTTCCCAAATCCGCATGGTTCAAGTTGATTTCCAATGGGCATTATATACTAATGATGGAGTTCGAGAGGTTATCAGGAAATATTATCTCTGAACAGCTTGTTCAGATGACGAGGTCGCTGCAATCTTTTCGAGATCGTTCACTTTTCACTGATGTTATCTTATGTGCTGGTGATGAGGAACTTCCTTGCCACAAATCAGTACTAGCTGCTAGTTCAGCATATTTCTTGGTAGGTTTTCGGTTTTTTGACTTATAAAAAAAGTTGATTATATAACTATCGATGCTTATTTTATTATTGCTTGTTTAAATCTCCCAATCGATGTTTAAGACTGCAATCGATCAGTCTCTATTGACATACAAGCATCCTCTGCTAATTGTTAAGTTGCATCGGTTTCCTGCTCAGATAATGTAATTTATTTTGACAATGATTGCATCAACAGCTTTAATATTTGAGTAAAAGTAGATGTATTTGGGTGCGATTGCAATAACATCAGGAGTTCGATGTCAACAAAATCTCGGTAGCTGCATGGTCTTTCATTTAATACCTTAGACACATTATTTTGCTGTTTAATCACGCCTGTTATCCCCCGATGAACCCTAGGCTGCTGACCAGAATACTTCAACCTATTCTGTTCAGGACCTTTCTTTCTGTCTCTGTCCAATTATTGTTCATTCTTTTCATGTCTGTCTCCATTTCTCACCCTAACGCGTTCCATTGTTTTCCTCTTTTCCTTTGACTTGGAAGGTTCCAAGTTAGGGCTTGTTGTGTAACGCAGTTGCGTGCATTCCTGAATGTGTATCCTATCCACTTCCAGCTCTTCCTGATTCCCTCCTCCTCTACCACCGTAGATTGTTGCTGATGGTGTCTGGCCAACGGATAATCAGTATTTTGCGTAGATAAATAAATACTTGTATCCTCTAGATCATGGCTTTCGTAGTTCTTCAAGTCTCCTTCCCATACAGTAGAACTGTCTTAACACTTGTGTTGGAAATTCTGGCTAGTGTTGGTGTTTTGAGTTCCAGATGCTCTTTAGCCTTATATATGCTCACCTGGCTTTTCCGATCCGCGCCTTCACATTTGCATCAAATCCACTTTGCTCATCAATGAGGCTGTCTAGATGAGTAAAAGTTTTGACGTCCTCCAAGGCATCTCCATCAAAAGTGATTTGATTGGTGCATGTTGTGTTGTTTCGGAGAATCTCGCTTCCCCTTTTGTACATGTCGCTGCTGAGACTGCTGCTACACTGGTTGTCTTCTCTTGCATTTGTTGTTGCGTGTGCGATAGAAGAGCCAGATCATCTGCGAAATCCGGATCGTGCAGCTGCATCCTGGCTATCCAATGTATCCCGTGCTTCCCTCCAGATGTTGACATCATAATTCAGTCGATGACCAGGAGAAAGGGTGAGAGTAAGCAACCTTGTCTGAAACCGGTCTTCACCTCGAACGAGTCAGTCAGCTGTCTTCCGTGCACGATATTGCAGTTTAATCCATCATAAGAATTTCGTATCACGTTGACTATCCTCAGGCACGCCGTAGTGTCGAAGATGCCTCCATGGTGTTGTCGTGTCCTCGTTATCCAGTGCTTTCTCGTAGTCAATGAAATTGATGTAGAGTGGTAAGTTCGGTCCAATTGATTGTTCCACAATGATCCCTAATGTTGCGATTTGGTCGGTAGACTATCGATTTTTACGAAATCTAGCCTGTTGATCTCAAAGTTGGGCGTCTACGAAGTCCTTCCAACTGTTTAACAATACCTGTTGAAGACTGCCTGGTATTGAGAGACGAGTGATACCTCTGTAGTTCTCACACTTGCTGAGATCGCCTTTCTTTGTTATTTTGATCAGGTATCCTTCTTTCCAGTCTGTTGATATTTGTTCTTCATCTTAAATCTTGCTGAAGAGAATGTGCAGTGTTTTTGCAGTTACTGTTACTTCTGCTTTCAATGTCTCTTCTGGAATGTTGCCTGGTCCGGCTGCTTCGCCGCTCTTGATTTGTCTGAGAGCCGTGCTGATCTCTTCAATTGTTGGTGGGCCAACATCGATTGGGAGGTCTGTGGATGCTGCCTCGGTGTTGGGTGAGTTCATTGGGGCTGATTGATTCAAGAGTTTCCTAAAGTGCTCTACTCACCTGTTTCATTGTTCTTCAATCAATCAGTAGCAACATAGAACTATGTACGTACGTACATCAGTTCGTGTTGCCATACCACATTAGCACAGAGATGTAATTGTCAATTTAAATCCAATAGAGTAAAGGTATTAGCAGTAGTCGGAGAGGTTAGGATTAGAAGATATTATTCAAGAAGTAGAATCTGGTGAAGTAGACTTAAAAAGTTAAGGATAAAGTGATGAAGAATTTAAAAGTTTAGGATTCGAGAGAACACAAAGAATGAATGCACCTGCTCCATAGTAAACGGTTTTGAGCCATATCATTCAGGGTCTCTAACCATCGATTATTATCATCTCGTGGACCCCAACCAGGTAGTCGACACTTACCGACATGACTCAGTCCACTTGTCAATGACTTAGTGTATTTCTGCCATGTTTTGGTCTCGCCGCCCCTAGCTTTCGTTCAACCGATTCTTACACCGCAAAATTATAGCTCGACGGGGCAGCCGGTGGTTAGACATACGCAACACATGTCTCAACCACCTCAACTGAAGTTTTAATATTTCATCTATTGATCTGCCATTCTTACCTAGCACCCATTTCCTAATAACAGCGTTGCTTACTCTGTTGTACCAGGATACACGAGCAATGCTTCGGAGACACCTATGATCGAAAATCAGTAACCTACGAATATCTACTCCGATTGGCCATGTTTCACAGCCATAAAGTAGGACGGAGCGGACTACTGCACAGTACACTCGTCCTCTAGTCAGCAAACGGATATCTCGCCTACGCCATAAGTGATGCAGGTTCGGAAAAACCAATCAAGCCTTCTGTATCCGTGCTGAGATTTCGTCAGTCACCAGGCCATCAGCACTGATGAGACTCCCCAGATAAGTGAAGTGTTCAACACGTTCGACTACTCCACTCCCTATCACTAGTTCAGGTGTCGACGCAAGCCGATCTTGAAGCAACATTTTGCATTTTGAGGAGAAAAACCGCATCCCGAACATGCATTGCTGCTCAGGGTAATCAGAAGACTGCAGTTTGTTGGCGTCTTCACCAAGTAGGAGACTATGTTATCGGCATATTCTAAGTCAGCAAGCGATTTTCCTGGTAGAAGGTCCGCTCCTGAAAATTCAGACAAAGATAAGGTTATATCTAGGAGCATGTCTATGGCAAAATTGAACAAAAACAGAGAAAGTGGACATCCGTGACGGACACCACTTGAAGCAGAGAACTCCGATGACAGTTCACCATAAGTTCTCACTCGACCTGTAGTGTTCGAGTAGAAAGCCTGTATTAGGTTAGTGTACTTCTTTGGTACACCTCAATGACAGACACTGCCACAGAACCTCACGATCGACAGAGTCAAATGTCTCCCTAAGGTCCAGGAACACAACTATTGTAGGATGCCTAAATGTGTGTCTGTGTTACGGAACCTGTCGTAGTGTGAAGATGTGGTCTATACAGCCACGTCCAGGTCTGAAACCATCCTGGTTTTCTCTAGTATGCTTTTCACGATTGAGAACGGATAACAAGACCACCCTTTTCCGAAACAGTCTCACTCACATTTGGGTTCTTAATGACAGTTTTCTTGATGAGTCTGAATAGTTGCCTATCGCCGTTCTCTTTTCCATCTCTCTCGCTTTCGCCACCCAACACTGTTCACGGTCGTTACGCAGGCTTTTTATCAGCCTGCGCCGAAGCTGACTTCGTTCTTCATCATGTTCAGAGTCATGTGGGATGCGTTTTCGAGCATCCATCAGTTCCGTGGATGCGACTGAAATCCACGGTTTCATTCTAGCCTTATGGTATACCTTGCTAGCAGATATCACTGCTGTTTCCACAGCCTTTTTGATATCATTCCATCCTGCTTCCGGATGGGAATCGCTTAATTGGTCGCCTAACTGTCTTTCTAGTTGTTCCTGAAATATATTTTTCGCCTTATTATCATTAAGTAAAACCCTAAGAGGCTTTCTTACGGTGTCTTTCCTACGCCCAGTAAGCTTCAAACAAATACGCGCTCGCACTAGGGCATGATCTGAATCTAGACATGTGCCACAGAACGAGCGACAGTCCTCTATCGAACCCCTCCATCGGTGGCTGATGGCGATGTGATCTAGTTGAGTCCAACGTTGAGACGACTTAGGGGGTCGCCAGGTGAAAATATGCTTTTCCTTATCCCTCGAGTTAGTGTTTGCTAAGAATAGGCGGTTATCTGAGCATAGTTGTAACAGACGGTCGCCATTATCTGTTCTTTGAGCCGTGACTCCATAAGATCCGCGCAGGTCCATCCAGGAGACTAGACCGATTGGCAGAACACTTTAGGGATCAGTTCAACTGGCCTCCAGCCACACTTCGGTTGCCCACGGTCTCCAGTCATCCTGAATGGCAAATCGACGTAAGTCGCCCGACTCTTTATAAAGTTGAGAAAGCGATAGGAAATCTGTCAGTCAGTTACAATGTAGAACATCGTACGTATGTATATAAGTTCAGGTTGCCATACCTCTTTAACACAGAGACACAAATGTCAGTTCAAATCTTATAGTGTAAGTAATAGCGGTAACAGAGAAGATTAGGGTTCGAATAAAACATTCAAGTGTAATTCATTGAAATAAATTTAAAATAAGGAGTTCGAAATATCAGCATTTAAGAGAACTCGAAGTGTGGATGCACCTGCGCGGTCGCGAAGGATTTTGAGTCATGTTGTTCAAGGTCTCTAACCATCTGTGACTTTCTTCTCGCGGACCCCAACCAGGTAGCCTACATCTGCCAACATGACTCAGTCCACTTGTCAGTGACTTCATGCTTGTGTGCCATGTTTTGGTTTGGTTACCTCTTGCTTTCTTTCAACCTACTCCTACATCGCAAAACATAGCTCATCTAGGCAGCCGGTGTTTAGACATACGCAACACATGTTCCAACCACCTCAACTGATGAAGTTTCAATACCTCATCAACAGATTTGCCATCCCTACCTAGTAATCGTTTATCACTTCTGCAACAAATTGTATGACTCTACCGTTCTCCCATATTTTATGACCATCCCATGTACCTATATTAATGGTTGCTCTGGTTGCCAGAAGGGGCATCGACCTCGTGACTTCCTTAGGAACTCGGCTTTCATCAAGATAAGTCATAACTCTTCTAAATGAATACCTAACTGCCAGGATAGAGTCTAAATGGTTTGAATTATTTTTTCTGGCTGGCGTTTTTTTAGCGAGTTAGTTTCCTAAGGGATGTGGTTGCCAACCCGCCTTTATCCGGGCTTGGGACCGGCAATAACCCCAGAGCGGCTCCAGTCGGAGTTCTTTAGACTTATGACTATCTAATATTCAATATAGTTTTATAAACCGAGTCTCTTTGTTTCCCATAAAAAACCACCAGTGAATTCTCTAAATATTTTGTTTTTCGAGGTTCATATTTCATCAGAATAAAATAAAACGATTTTTAGCGATGTCTAAATGGTGGGAATTACCAGTATTTTGAATATTCTAGAGTATAATTAAGATACGAAAAGCATGTGCACAATTTTGTACTAGTAAATTAAAGGAACTATTAGAGGGGGTGAAATTCTGACAGATAAAGCTGCAACAACACTAAAACTAAATATTATTTCAAACCTGTATTGCCAATATTTAGATTTGAGTTGTTAGTTATATCAGAACTTCAGTTTATATTATTGGCTTAGTAATTGACTGCTGGTTAGTGCACCCTACTTTGAATTAAATCTTTTATTTAAGACTAGCGATACTACTGGTTGGTCGAACAGGAATCAGTGAGGCGGGATTTGCCATCAAACAGTGACCTGCCAATTCACCAGAAACTTCTATAGTTCATCAGACAGAACCTAAGTAGAACAAAGAAGAGCATTATTGAATAGCGGTCACACAACTCCATGATTAAACTTAAAGATGCAAATATCTCGTAATGGCATATTTTTGATTTAATATTTCTGCCTTGCCTGCACAGGAAAATTTGCTGTTGTTCAGTCTGGACAATATTTTTCATGTTCTGTCAAGTGCGATTCCACCGTTGTGTGTATCTATGCGTAATTTACGTTTGTAATAGTTCACTTCAATGATATTGACTTCCCTAGGTCTTCTGGACAAAAAGTAGTGTCGGTGATTTGTTGTTGACAGCCAATAACAAAATGGCTGACAAGTACTTTTTAGTTTTTAACTGTTCTTCAGCTGCTGTCAGTTCATTACAAAGCCTACCTTCAAACCGTACAAGATTTTCATGAAATTTGAAACTTGACTGAGTAAAATAATTTTATTATGATGTTACTCATTGTATGCTAGCAAAGAATATGTACATATGAGTTGTATATTCAGTTGAATTTAAATCCTAACACAGTTCTCATTTATATTTATTTTTATAGGCCATGTTTTCATCACCGTATAAAGAACAGCAAACATCCCGAGTTACATTGAATTATATTTCTCCTTGGGCTCTTCGTCGCTTGCTTGATTTTTCGTACCTTGGTTGCTTAGAAATAACAGAAGCCACTGTACAGGATATATTTCTCGCTGCTAGTTTACTTGACTATCCAATAGCTATTAAACATTGTGTTGATTTTATGAAGAGTCATTTAGATGTTACAAATTGTTTAGGTATCGAAGCCTTGGCCGAAATGCACAACCTTACTGATTTAGCTCAGTCATCGCATAAATTAGCTGTAGAGAATTTCTCAAGGTAAAACCTTTTTATTTTTGCTTTTCTACCTGTTGAATAGTTTAGGAATTTATTTTCAATCAAGGGTACATGTACGTACTTTGATATCTGTTAAGGTATTATTGAATCTTATCAACATAAAAAACCCGTACAAAGCATATACTTGATTCTGCGTTTATGGTAGTGCTGAAATGCCTTTTTAAAATTTTACCGTGAAATACATTACCTAGTTGCAGAATCAGTGAGCCATTATTTGTAGTGAAATTATTCGTGCTCAAGTTTACTGCTGCATTCTGTTCTCCGTCGTATGTAATGCGTATATAAGGGATTTCGTGTACAAATTTGCTTCGTGTCAAACAAATACTTCTTACTTACTGTATTAAGATTAAAACAGTGTTTTACTGTAAATAGTAAGTAGGTATCTGGATAGAACCTCTACAATACTTTATTTAAATAATATACTATGTGACGAACAAGGGTCTATACATCTTCTAAAACCAAGAACTTTAATCTTGTTTCATCTATGTCGAGCATAAATGGGTTCCAAATACTCGAATAATTTATTTAGGTAGGTAATTCGAATCTGGAACTGAACAGGTTATTGTTAATGGCTTTGTTCGTCCCGGGTCAGTCTCTAACCTGGATCAAAAAGGAGGGTTTGGTATGGCAATAACAATCCAATTCCACAGGGAAGAACGTTGCTAAAAATTCCCTGACTGTTCAAACTCTGACCTGCTAGTTGAAGGGTTTTCATCCAGAAGGTGTCGGCTGCCAAATGGAGAAAGCTGACATTCTCCTCACAAGAATTATTATAGTTACATGAAATATACGAAGTCGACAACAGCTGAGTTGGATTGGTGTTGTCTAAAAAGTACGCGAAGCACCTATGTGTTGATAATCTCGGGGACCCAGGATAATCTTAACATTTTTCAAAATAACCAAGGAAGCGATCACAGGTAATGTCATCCAGTTCTAATCGCTCACCAATTCTAGCAGTGCAGGTGATAAAGATGTTTTATTAATAGCTGCAGTTAGTCGTAGAGAAATGTTCAGTAAAGGATTTGACCATCTGGATGTGAGACCTAAACGCCAAGGTTGGAACGAACAACACTGGGCACAAAAGTATCATGAGATGTCATGGACTGGGAAAAACGGACAAAAATGGAGAGAGTTTTTCAAATCTGTGAGTCTCCAACAAAATGATTTTAGGTGGTGCCACTTCCGTCACTACGACCACATACAAAAGCCATATGGTTGTCACCGGACCCGACTGCAGAGAACCGGATCCATCACATCTGCATCAGTAAAAGTTCAGGTTCTTGGAAGATGTGACAACAAGGCTTGTTGATATAGCTTCAGATCACTATCTGGTTGTGACCACGCTTAAACGGGAACCAAAAAAACTCTGGACTTGACTTCATTACAAAAGTTTAACGTAGACCTCGAGATACCCGACCGTAGCTGCTACCTTGACGTGGTGGTTGGGCTTGCCTATCGTGATGACCCAACCGAGGTATACTGGCTGGAACATATGTTCCTGCAGGTCGATTGGAGAACGATGAGACTAAAAGCAGCTACCCAAGGTCTGAGGGCGAAGTCTTACTGCTGACTGCAGAGGGGTGTGACAGCAGTAAGGTGTCTCCCTCGGACAACCAGCATCTGCAGCGATGCTGCCTTCTCACAAGGAAGGAAGGGTTAGAAAAGGTCGGCCCTAAAAATGTCACACCTCCCCTACCTCACGGATTTCCGTCTCCTTGGGTAAGGGTGCCCACTAAGGGCCTTTAAGAACGGAGCTAATCCTCAAAAAACATTTCATAAAAAGGCCGTGCGTGACCGGCCTCAAGCAGTTGTCCCTTGGGCTCTGCGGTCACGCACCAACACTAATCTATCTTCCTTTGCAGGTCCCTCAAGAAACAACCTTCCACGGTGTGGGCAGCCGGGAAGTGACAACCGCCCTCATACCCGTAACAGCACACGAGACCAAATTGGTCAAAATCAAATCCTTCCTACACCCCCTAATACCTCTCTTATCTCCACGACTAACTCTTCTCACATTCATTCATCACAGTGCACAGCTAATGCAGACGATACGAGTTCGCGAAACGTCGTTCCTGGTCTCCTTAGACCTCGCTCTAGACTACATGTTGGAGCATTTAATGTACGGACATTGTGTCAAATAGGGCAACAGGCTTCCTTAGTTAGGAATTTAGAATCTCGTGCCATCGATGTATGCTGCGTCTCGGAAACGCGCATACTGGATCCGAGTCGCGTCATACACTTGGCCACACCATGTCAGAATAAAGAAGCAGCTCGATTTACTCTTCGTGTATCCGGTAGCACTGATGCTGCTTCCAGGGGTCTTGCTGGCGTAGGCATAGCATTGAGTCGTAGGGCAGAACAATCTCTCCTTGACTGGATCCCAGTAGATAGTCGATTGTGCGCTGTCCGACTAAACGGGACAGTAAGGACTCGGAAAGATAGGGACAATCGCCGTTGCCTCTTCATCGTATCTGCCTATGCCCCCACTGAATGCAGTTCAGACGAGGTTAAGGATGAGTTTTACAGAAAGCTTTCGGACCTCCTCCAAGATGTTAGGCGCTCTGATATAGTAATAATGGCTGGTGACTTTAATGCTCAAGTAGGTAGACTAAGTGAGCAGGAGAGACACCTAGGTGGATGTTATGGTGTCGCGGCTCAGAGAACAGACAATGGTGACCGTCTGTTGCAAATATGCTCAGACAACTGCCTATTCTTAGCAAACACTAACTTTAGGCATAAGGAAAAGCATCTGCTGACCTGGCGACCTCCAAAGTCGTCTCAACGTTGGACTCAACTAGATCACATCGCCATCAGCCACCGATGGAGGGGTTCGATAGAGGACTGTCGCTCGTTCTGTGGCACATGTCTAGATTCAGATCATGCCCTAGTGCGAGCGCGTATTTGTTTGAAGCTTACTGGGCGTAGGAAAGACACCGTAAGAAAGCCTCTTAGGGTTTTACTTAATGATAATAAGGCGAAAAATATATTTCAGGAACAACTAGAAAGACAGTTAGGCGACCAATTAAGCGATTCCCATCCGGAAGCAGGATGGAATGATATCAAAAAGGCTGTGGAAACAGCAGTGATATCTGCTAGTAAGGTTGACCATAAGGCTAGAATGAAACCGTGGATCTCAGTAGCATCCACCGATCTGATGGATGCTCGAAAACTCATCCCACCTGGCTCTGAACATGATGAAGAAGGAAGTCAACTTAGGCGCAGACTTATGAAAAGCCTACGTGACGATCGCGAACAGTGGTGGGTGGCGAAAGCAAAAGCGATGGAAAAGGCAGCGGCGATCGGCAACAGTAGACAACTTTTCCGACTTATCAAGGAAACTAGTATTAGGAATCCTAGTGTAAGTGAGACTATCTCAGAAAATAACGGGACAATTATTTATTCTCAATCCAGGAGACTGGATCGATGGGCAGAACACTTTAGGGATCAGTTCAACTGGCCTCGAGCCACTCTTCAGTTACCCACGATCTCCAGTCATCCTGAATGGCAAATCGACCTAAGTGCACATAGGCTTCATAAAGTTGAGAAAGCGTCAGGAAATCTGAAGCGACGGCGAGCTGCAGGTCCTGATAGACTGACCGCTGAAATGTTTAAAGATGGTCGTCCAGTTTTAGCAGCTAGATTGACTGAGATCTTAGGTAGAATCTGGGAACTGGACGTAATCCCATCCGACTGGTCTCAATCACTGATTGTCCCAATCTATAAGAAAGGACAGAAGTCTTGTGACAATCACAGAGGAATAAGTCTAACTAATATAGTATCTAAAATATTGGCCTCAATAATACTTCGACGCTTAACGAAAGCTCGTGAAGAGCAAACTCGAGAAAACCAGGCTGGTTTTCGACCTGGACGTGGCTGTATAGACCACATCTTCACACTACGACAGGTCCTGGAACACAGACACACATTTAGGCGTCCTACAATAGTTGTTTTCCTGGACCTTAAGGCAGCATTTGACTCAGTGGATCGTGAGGTTCTGTGGCAGTGTCTGTCATTGAAAGGTGTACCAAAGAAGTACATTAACCTTATACAAGCTCTCTACTCGAACACCACTGGTCGAGTGAGAGCTTATGGCGAACTGTCACCGGAATTCTTTACTTCAAGTGGTGTCCGTCAGGGATGTCCACTCTCTCCATTCTTGTTTAATTTTATCATAGACATGCTACTAGAAATAACCTTATCCTCGTCTGAATTTTCAGGAGTAGACCTTTTACCAGGTGGCTCGCTTATTGACTTAAAATATGCCGATGACATAGTCCTACTTGGTGAAGACGCTGACAAAATGCAGAGTCTTCTGACTACCCTAAGCAACAATGCAAGCATGTTCGGGATGCGGTTTTCCCCCTCGAAATGCAAAATGTTTCTTCAAGGTTGGGTTTCATCGGCACCTGAACTAGTGATAGGGAGTGAAGTGGTCGAACGTGTAGGCCGCTTCACTTATCTGGGGAGTCGCATCAGTGCTGATGGCCTGGTGACTGACGAAATCTCGGCACGGATACAGAAGGCTCGATTGGCTTTTGCCAAGTTGCGTCACTTATGGCGTAGGCGAGATATCCGTTTGCTGACTAAAGGACGAGTGTAATGTGCAGTAGTTCACTCCGCCTTACTTCATGGCTGTGAAAGATGGCCGGTGAGAGTACAAGATATTCGTAGGTTACTGGTTTTCGATCTTAGGTGTCTTCGAAGCATTGCTCGTATATCGTGGGACACCCGAGTGAGCAACGCTGTTATTAGGAAATGGGTGCTAGGTAAAAATGGCAGATCAATCGATGAAGTGGTGAAACTTCATCAGTTGAGGTGGTTGGGACATGTGTTGCGAATGCTTAACCACCGACTGCCTCGTCGAGCTTTGTTTTGTAGTGTAGGAATAGGTTGGAAGAAAGCTAGGGGCGGCCAAACCAAAACATGGCAGAAATCCATGAAGTCATTGACGAGTGGACTTAGCCATGTCGGTAATTGTCGACTACCTGGTTGGGGTCCGCGAGATGATAATAATCGATGGCTAGAGACCTTGAATGACATGGCTCAAAATCGTTCGCAATGGCGCCAGTGCATTTATTATTTGTGTTCTCTGAAATCCTAGTCTTCTGGATTCTTCAACACCTCTAGCTTTTACTTTCTAAACTTTTCTCATTGAATCGTACTTCGTGAATAATATCTTCTAATTCTAACCTCTCCGATTACTTCTAATACCTTTACTACCTCTTCTACTATTGGATTTGAATTGACAATTATATCTCTGTGCTGATGTGGTATGGCGAAATGAACTGATGTACTTACGTACGAAGTTCTACGTTGCAACTGACTGACTGACTGAGACCTCGAGATAATAACAAATTCAGTCGACTCAAGATAGCAAATGGTCTCAAGCATTACAAGGCCTATTCAAAAAGGAGACCTGCATAAGAGTATCTGAAAAGGGACTAAAAGAACAATAAATACAGCATGCGAGAATGTTCTGGGATCTAAGGATTTTCACTAACATCGGTCTGTCTCGGTCAATAGAAAAGTGACAAAATTACAGCAATCAGACAGACAGACAGACAACGTAGAACTTGGTACGTACGTACATCAGTTCAAATTGCCATACGACATTAGCATAGAGACGCGATTGTCAATTCAAATCCCATAGTAGTAGAGGTAGTAGAAGTATTATCAGTAATCAAAAAAATCAATCAAATATATCATTCGAGATGTATACCCCAGAGGAACCAGTTCAAAAAAGTAAATAAATGGTCATGAGGAATTCAGAAGATCATCATTTGAGAGAACACAAAGAGCGCCATTGCAAACGATTTCGAGCAATATCATTCAAGGTCTCTAACCATCGATTTCTATCATCTCGCGGACCGCAACCAGGTAGTCTACACGTACAGACATGACTCAGTCCAGTTATCAGTGGCGTAATGGATTTGTGTCATGTTTTGGTTTGGCCGCCCCTAGCTTTCTTCCAAGAACATTCAAACAAGTGTAGAAATTCAAGGCACGGGTGAATACACAAGTAAACAAGCAAGTGAGTAGAAGCATTAGGACTAATGAGCGGAAATCTGTAGAAGACCTAGCAATGACAGCTGAGAAAGTTGCAAGAGTAGAAATATCGAGGAATTGTGTGATACAATCAAGAGGCCAGTATGATAATAGTAGACCAGGTGGACCGGTCAGAAACAACGAAGGCAACCCAACGATTGGGATTGAGGAACAACAATTCAAGTTGTTAGAACAATTTAAATATAACGACGCCATTGAACCCATGGGGTATTGGAGCTGCATCTACCGATCTCTCTATTCACGTTACCACACCAGCAATAAAATGTCATCATGGTCATCAGACAAATCAAGAGTAGGAAGGCAGAAGGACCAAACATCATACCAGCTGAAACACTAACGTTCCAGAGAAATAACTGCCAAGATGATCCACACTGTTGTAAAAGATTCTGGAGGAACAACATGTAACAACAGACTGGTAGGAGGTATTCGATTCGAGGTATACGATTCCTACGAAAAGTGATCTGAGTAACTATTAGACATACAGAGGGATTGCACCGCTGTCAGTACCAGACAAATCTTCAATAGCGTGTTACTGAACTAAATCAGCGATTCGTTAGACACTCAACTTTCTTACAGATTGATCATGTACCGACTACATCTCAAAACTGGATCACTGTTGACCAGTCAAGTGTATGGAACTCGTCACCATATATCAACTTTCCTGACTATGAGAAGGCATTCAGCAGCATAGGTATGAGAACCTTGTGGAACTTTCTTCAAAACTGTGGTGTAACTTGGACGATCGTCACGGTCATACGAAATTCTTATGACGGACTACACTGCAAAATCTTGCATGGGTGCAGCTCGAAGTTGCATTCCAAGTGTAGATAGGTGTCAGATAAGATTGTTTGTTTTCATCGTTTTTCTGATGGTTGACTGAGTTATGAGGACCTTAACATCTGAGGGAAAGCGCGAAACATGTTGGATACAGCTAGACAATCTGAACTTTGCAGTTGACCCAGCTCTTCTATCCCACACACGGCAACAAATGCAGATGATAACTGGCAGTGTAGTAGCATCCTCTGCAGTAGTAGGGTTCGATGTTCACTATAGAAGAAACAAATCCTAAGGTACATTTCAGTGAGCACCAAAAGAATCACACTTGTTGAAGAACCTCTGGAAGAGGTGGTAACCTGTAAAAACCTGGACATGACCTAATGCATATGTGAAAGTTCGAATAGACATAGAACGAGCAGCATTCCTTCAACTGAAGCATATTTCCAATCGATGAGGCTATCAGGATTTTCACGACAAACGTCAAGACATCTTTTTTATGGAGAGGAAACTTGGTGAACTACGAAAGCCATCATCTAAAAAGTTCAAGTATTTATAAACAGTTGTTTATACAAGATACCACAGATCTATTGACCGGGCACCATCAGCAATATCTTATTGTCGCGGAGAACACACCGGCCTCCAGTCGGAGAGGAAATCAGGAAAAGACGCTGGAAGTGGATAGGTTACACATTGTAGAAATCACCAAAATACGTCACAAGTCAAGCCGGAACGTGGAATCATTCAGGCAAGAGGAAAGAGGCAGATCAAAGTACGTATTAATCCGAGAATCGGAGGCTAATATCGGGAGAATGATTGTCACTTGGAGACCACTGAAAAGAAGAGCTCAGGAGGCCTAATCGAAGATCCGTGATCCTCGGTCCATCCTCCACCAGGTGTAACAGGTCTAAGTGAGTAAGCTCATCTGAAAAGGTGTATTTTGAAACTTCATTATTTAACAGATTCGTGTGATCAGCTGTGGGTCGCACGTTAGATCCAAAACTAGTGACAATACTCGTCTCTTCAAACCGAAGTTGACGAAGCGGAGCCCGGAATATATCTTTAACTGACGATATTTTTAAATCTATGCATATTCATGTTAAATCAGTGGTACCATGACGAGTACATAAGGTCCACTGGGAAACCTAGTGATTTTTGTTTATTGTCTAAAGTGAGATTTAAGTGATGCTGAAATTTTTGTCTTTTGTGTTTATGATAACAGCTTACTAAGAGAATCTAATGAATGGACCAATTTGTCTATTTCAACTGTCATTTCATATATCTCTTCAGATGATTTAGATGTACCTTCAGAACAAGTGAGTCCTACGATTGTTATTTATTAGAGTAGATATTTAAATATGGATTTCTATATGAATATAATTTTAGTAATTGAGGGATGTTGGAAATATGTAACCGAAAATGAATCTTCTGTAGCCTAACAGTTATTCTACATTCCTAATTATCTTTGCTTACAATTGTTAAGCATTAAAAAAAGCTTAAATGCAACCTTACTAAATGGTTTATTAAACACACTAGCTTGCAATTTTTCAAGTTTTTCTCTACTCAGTTGGATTTCACAGATTCTATTCATCATCAATTGAGGTCGTTGAGACATGTGTTACGTACCCCCAAAATCCGACGGCGTCGATGAGCGATGTTTTGTGATGTAGGAGTGGGTTGGACGAAAGTTAGCGGTGGCGAAACCAAAACATTGGCACACAAGCGTGAAGTCACTGACAAGTGGACTGAGTCATGTCAGTAAATGTAGACTGCCTGGTTGGGGTCCGCGAGATGATAGGAATCGATGGTTAGAGACTTTGGCTGCAAATCGTTTGCGATGGCGCCGGTGCATCTATTCTTTGTGCTCTCTCAAATGCTGATCTTCTGAATTCATCATCACCTCTGTCTTCCTCTTTCTAAATTTACTACACTGAATCATACTTTTTGAATAATATTTTCGAACCCTAATCTTCTCTATTACCGCCAATACTTCCACTATCTCTACCACTATGGGATTTGAACTGACGACTACGTTTCTGTGCTAAGGTGGTATGACAGCCTAAACTGATTTATGTACGCACGAAGTTCTACGTTGTAACTGACTACTCATTTATCTCGGAGGAATAACTGTAGCTTGCGTAAAACAGCAACAGGATGTAAGTTTTAACAATAGTAAATTTGGAATGGCCGACTGAAGAAGTTCGTATTTCCCGAATAATTAATAGGAAACCTGTATTTTATGAAGCCTAATGATTTTTCAGTAAAAACCAATTAATGCATTTGTAGGATTGTTGTTCATTGTTATTAGTCGTAGAAGACTAAATTAGTCTATGAACTAATACCCACTGTTATCACATGACCTGGAGCCAATGTGGTTTCTTCTTTATAGTAGAATACTGCTAAAAATTGTTAAATGTCCAGTCGAAAAGTATGATATGTTTTAGTAGCTGGTGTTTAATGAAAACTGGCCATAAACTGGTCAAACTTTTAGAAACACAGATCAAACGTATGGTGTAACCTTGAATAGTGTAAATTTAAACCTACTATTACTATTCATATCATAAATAGCTGTTTTAAATTATCCTTTAGTTGAAATTGTGGACTAAATTTTGATTGTTTTTTGTTAGTATATGCACATCACAACTTAATCCTGAATATCAACAACAGGATGATTGAAAGCCTTACTAAATAACTATAATAACATCATACTGGTTGAACGAGTTAATGGATATTTGAACTCGGTATCGCAGTAAATAGCGCTTTCTTTGGAGGGTTGACGACGCACGCAGTGGACCCCGGTGCGCACGGTGAAGCGCTCGCGGGGCAGCTCAACAACCGACGGATGTTGAGCTGCCGCGCGAGCGCTTCACCGTGCGCACGGGGGTCCACTGCGTGCGTCGACAACCCACCAAAGAAATCGCTAGGGACTGCGGATACCGAGTTCAAATATCCATTAACTCGTTCAACCAGTATGATGTTATTATAGTTATTTAGTAAGGCTTTCAATCATCCTGTTGTTGATATTCAGGATTAAGTTGTGATGTGCATATACTAACAAAAAACAATCAAAATTTAGTCCACAATTTCAACTAAAGGATAATTTAAAACAGCTATTTATGATATGAATAGTAATAGTAGGTTTAAATTTACACTATTCAAGGTTACACCATACGTTTGATCTGTGTTTCTAAAAGTTTGACCAGTTTATGGCCAGTTTTCATTAAACACCAGCTACTAAAACATATCATACTTTTCGACTGGACATTTAACAATTTTTAGCAGTATTCTACTATAAAGAAGAAACCACATTGGCTCCAGGTCATGTGATAACAGTGGGTATTAGTTCATAGACTAATTTAGTCTTCTACGACTAATAACAATGAACAACAATCCTACAAATGCATTAATTGGTTTTTACTGAAAAATCATTAGGCTTCATAAAATACAGGTTTCCTATTAATTATTCGGGAAATACGAACTTCTTCAGTCGGCCATTCCAAATTTACTATTGTTAAAACTTACATCCTGTTGCTGTTTTACGCAAGCTACAGTTATTCCTCCGAGATAAATGAGTAGTCAGTTACAACGTAGAACTTCGTGCGTACATAAATCAGTTTAGGCTGTCATACCACCTTAGCACAGAAACGTAGTCGTCAGTTCAAATCCCATAGTGGTAGAGATAGTAGAATTATTAGCCGTAATGAAGAAGATTAGGGTTCGAAAATATTATTCAAAAAGTATAATTCAGTGATATAACTTTAGAAAGAGTAAGATAGAGGTGATGACGAATTTAGAAGATCAGCATTTGAGAGAGCACAAAGAATAGATGCACCGGCGCCATCGCAAACGATTTGCAGCCAAAGTCTCTAACCATCGATTCCTATCATCTCGCGGACCCCAACCAGGCAGTCTACATTTACTGACATGACTCAGTCCACTTGTCAGTGACTTCACGCTTGTGTGCCAATGTTTTGGTTTCGCCACCGCTAACTTTCGTCCAACCCACTCCTACATCACAAAACATCGCTCATCGACGCCGTCGGATTTTGGGGGTACGTAACACATGTCTCAACGACCTCAATTGATGATGAATAGAATCTGTGAAATCCAACTGAGTAGAGAAAAACTTGAAAAATTGCAAGCTAGTGTGTTTAATAAACCATTTAGTAAGGTTGCATTTAAGCTTTTTTTAATGCTTAACAATTGTAAGCAAAGATAATTAGGAATGTAGAATAACTGTTAGGCTACAGAAGATTCATTTTCGGTTACATATTTCCAACATCCCTCAATTACTAAAATTATATTCATATAGAAATCCATATTTAAATATCTACTCTAATAAATAACAATCGTAGGACTCACTTGTTCTGAAGGTACATCTAAATCATCTGAAGAGATATATGAAATGACAGTTGAAATAGACAAATTGGTCCATTCATTAGATTCTCTTAGTAAGCTGTTATCATAAACACAAAAGACAAAAATTTCAGCATCACTTAAATCTCACTTTAGACAATAAACAAAAATCACTAGGTTTCCCAGTGGACCTTATGTACTCGTCATGGTACCACTGATTTAACATGAATATGCATAGATTTAAAAATATCGTCAGTTAAAGATATATTCCGGGCTCCGCTTCGTCAACTTCGGTTTGAAGAGACGAGTATTGTCACTAGTTTTGGATCTAACGTGCGACCCACAGCTGATCACACGAATCTGTTAAATAATGAAGTTTCAAAATACACCTTTTCAGATGAGCTTACTCACTTAGACCTGTTACACCTGGTGGAGGATGGACCGAGGATCACGGATCTTCGATTAGGCCTCCTGAGCTCTTCTTTTCAGTGGTCTCCAAGTGACAATCATTCTCCCGATATTAGCCTCCGATTCTCGGATTAATACGTACTTTGATCTGCCTCTTTCCTCTTGCCTGAATGATTCCACGTTCCGGCTTGACTTGTGACGTATTTTGGTGATTTCTACAATGTGTAACCTATCCACTTCCAGCGTCTTTTCCTGATTTCCTCTCCGACTGGAGGCCGGTGTGTTCTCCGCGACAATAAGATATTGCTGATGGTGCCCGGTCAATAGATCTGTGGTATCTTGTATAAACAACTGTTTATAAATACTTGAACTTTTTAGATGATGGCTTTCGTAGTTCACCAAGTTTCCTCTCCATAAAAAAGATGTCTTGACGTTTGTCGTGAAAATCCTGATAGCCTCATCGATTGGAAATATGCTTCAGTTGAAGGAATGCTGCTCGTTCTATGTCTATTCGAACTTTCACATATGCATTAGGTCATGTCCAGGTTTTTACAGGTTACCACCTCTTCCAGAGGTTCTTCAACAAGTGTGATTCTTTTGGTGCTCACTGAAATGTACCTTAGGATTTGTTTCTTCTATAGTGAACATCGAACCCTACTACTGCAGAGGATGCTACTACACTGCCAGTTATCATCTGCATTTGTTGCCGTGTGTGGGATAGAAGAGCTGGGTCAACTGCAAAGTTCAGATTGTCTAGCTGTATCCAACATGTTTCGCGCTTTCCCTCAGATGTTAAGGTCCTCATAACTCAGTCAACCATCAGAAAAACGATGAAAACAAACAATCTTATCTGACACCTATCTACACTTGGAATGCAACTTCGAGCTGCACCCATGCAAGATTTTGCAGTGTAGTCCGTCATAAGAATTTCGTATGACCGTGACGATCGTCCAAGTTACACCACAGTTTTGAAGAAAGTTCCACAAGGTTCTCATACCTATGCTGCTGAATGCCTTCTCATAGTCAGGAAAGTTGATATATGGTGACGAGTTCCATACACTTGACTGGTCAACAGTGATCCAGTTTTGAGATGTAGTCGGTACATGATCAATCTGTAAGAAAGTTGAGTGTCTAACGAATCGCTGATTTAGTTCAGTAACACGCTATTGAAGATTTGTCTGGTACTGACAGCGGTGCAATCCCTCTGTATGTCTAATAGTTACTCAGATCACTTTTCGTAGGAATCGTATACCTCGAATCGAATACCTCCTACCAGTCTGTTGTTACATGTTGTTCCTCCAGAATCTTTTACAACAGTGTGGATCATCTTGGCAGTTATTTCTCTGGAACGTTAGTGTTTCAGCTGGTATGATGTTTGGTCCTTCTGCCTTCCTACTCTTGATTTGTCTGATGACCATGATGACATTTTATTGCTGGTGTGGTAACGTGAATAGAGAGATCGGTAGATGCAGCTCCAATACCCCATGGGTTCAATGGCGTCGTTATATTTAAATTGTTCTAACAACTTGAATTGTTGTTCCTCAATCCCAATCGTTGGGTTGCCTTCGTTGTTTCTGACCGGTCCACCTGGTCTACTATTATCATACTGGCCTCTTGATTGTATCACACAATTCCTCGATATTTCTACTCTTGCAACTTTCTCAGCTGTCATTGCTAGGTCTTCTACAGATTTCCGCTCATTAGTCCTAATGCTTCTACTCACTTGCTTGTTTACTTGTGTATTCACCCGTGCCTTGAATTTCTACACTTGTTTGAATGTTCTTGGAAGAAAGCTAGGGGCGGCCAAACCAAAACATGACACAAATCCATTACGCCACTGATAACTGGACTGAGTCATGTCTGTACGTGTAGACTACCTGGTTGCGGTCCGCGAGATGATAGAAATCGATGGTTAGAGACCTTGAATGATATTGCTCGAAATCGTTTGCAATGGCGCTCTTTGTGTTCTCTCAAATGATGATCTTCTGAATTCCTCATGACCATTTATTTACTTTTTTGAACTGGTTCCTCTGGGGTATACATCTCGAATGATATATTTGATTGATTTTTTTGATTACTGATAATACTTCTACTACCTCTACTACTATGGGATTTGAATTGACAATCGCGTCTCTATGCTAATGTCGTATGGCAATTTGAACTGATGTACGTACGTACCAAGTTCTACGTTGTCTGTCTGTCTGTCTGATTGCTGTAATTTTGTCACTTTTCTATTGACCGAGACAGACCGATGTTAGTGAAAATCCTTAGATCCCAGAACATTCTCGCATGCTGTATTTATTGTTCTTTTAGTCCCTTTTCAGATACTCTTATGCAGGTCTCCTTTTTGAATAGGCCTTGTAATGCTTGAGACCATTTGCTATCTTGAGTCGACTGAATTTGTTATTATCTCGAGGTCTCAGTCAGTCAGTCAGTTGCAACGTAGAACTTCGTACGTAAGTACATCAGTTCATGTTGCCATACCACATCATCACAGAGATATAATTGTCAATTCAAATCCAATAGTAGAAGAGGTAGTAAAGGTATTAGAAGTAATCGGGAAGGTTAGGATTAGAAGATATTATTCAAGAAGTATGATTCAATGAGATAAGGTTTGAAAGTAAAAGGTAGAGGTGTTGAAGAATCCGGAAGATTAGGATTTGAGAGAACACAAAGAATAAATGCACTGGCGCCATTGCGAACGATTTTGAGCCATGTCATTCAAGGTCTCTAACCATCGATTATTATCATCTCGCGGACCCCAACCAGGTAGTCGACAATTACCGACATGGCTAAGTCCACTCGTCAATGACTTCATGGATTTCTGCCATGTTTTGGTCTGGCCGCCCCTAGCTTTCTTCCAACCTATTCCTACACTACAAAACAAAGCTCGACGAGGCAGTCGGTGGTTAAGCATTCGCAACACATGTCCCAACCACCTCAACTGATGAAGTTTCACCACTTCATCGATTGATCTGCCATTTTTACCTAGCACCCATTTCCTAATAACAGCGTTGCTCACTCGGGTGTCCCACGATATACGAGCAATGCTTCGAAGACACCTAAGATCGAAAACCAGTAACCTACGAATATCTTGTACTCTCACCGGCCATCTTTCACAGCCATGAAGTAAGGCGGAGTGAACTGCTGCACAGTACACTCGTCCTTTAGTCAGCAAACGGATATCTCGCCTACGCCATAAGTGACGCAACTTGGCAAAAGCCAATCGAGCCTTCTGTATCCGTGCCGAGATTTCGTCAGTCACCAGGCCATCAGCACTGATGAGACTCCCCAGATAAGTGAAGCGGTCTACACGTTCGACCACTTCACTCCCTATCACTAGTTCAGGTGCCGATGAAACTCAATCTTGAAGTAACATTTTGCATTTCGAGGGGGAAAACCGCATCCCGAACATGCTTGCATTGTTGCTTAGGGTAGTCAGAAGACTCTGCATTTTGTCAGCGTCTTCACCAAGTAGGACTATGTCATCGGCATATTCTAAGTCAATAAGCGAGCCACCTGGTAAAAGGTCTACTCCTGAAAATTCAGACGAGGATAAGGTTATTTCTAGTAGCATGTCTATGATAAAATTAAACAAGAATGGAGAAAGTGGACATCCCTGACGGACACCACTTGAAGTAGAGAATTCCGGTGACAGTTCGCCATAAGCTCTCACTCGACCAGTGGTGTTTGAGTAGAGAGCTTGTATAAGGTTAATGTACTTCTTTGGTACACCTTTCAATGACAGACACTGCCACACAACCTCACGATCCACTGAGTCAAATGCTGCTTTTAGGTCCAGGAACACAACTATTGTAGGACGCCTAAATGTGCGTCTGTGTTCCAGGACCTGTCGTAGTGTGAAAATGAGGTCTATACAACCACGTCCGGGTCGAAAACCAGCCTGGTTTTCTCTAGTCTGCTCTTCACGAGCTTTCGCTAAGCGTCGAAGTATTATTGAGGCCAATATTTTAGATGCTATATTAGTTAGACTTATTCCCCTGTGATTGTCACAAGAAGACTTCTGTCCTTTCTTATAAATTGGGACAATCAGTGGTTGAGACCAGTCGGATGGGATTACGTCCAGTTCCCAGATTCTACCTAGGATCTCAGTCAACCTAGCTGCTAAAACTGGACCACCATCCTTAAATATCTCAGGGGTCGGTCTATCAGGACCTGCAGATCGCCCTCGCTTCAGATTTTCTAACGCTTTCTCAAATTCATTAAGACTAGGGGGACTTATGTCGATTTGCCATTCAGGATGACTGGAGATCGTGGGTAACTGAAGAGTGGCTCGAGGCCAGTTGAACTGATCCCTAAAGTGTTCTGCCCATCGATCCAGTCTCCTGGATTGAGAATAAATAATAGTCCCGTCATTTTCTGAGATAGTCTCACTTACACTAGGATTCCTAATACCAGTTTCCTTGATAAGTCGGAAAAGTTGTCTACTGTTGCCGATCGCCGCTGCCTTTTCCATCGCTTTTGCTTTCGCCACCCACCACTGTTCGCGATCGTTACGTAGGCTTTTTATAAGTCTGCGCCTAAGCTGACTTCGTTCTTCATCATGTTCAGAGTCAGGTGGGATGAGTTTTCGAGCATCCATCAGATCGGTGGATGCTACTGAGATCCACGGTTTCATTCTAGCCTTATGGTCAACCTTACTAGCAGATATCACTGCTGTTTCCACAGCCTTTTTGATATCATTCCATCCTGCTTCCGGATGGGAATCGCTTAAATGGTCGCCTAACTGTCTTTCTAGTTGTTCCTGAAATATATTTTTCGCCTTATTATCATTAAGTAAAACCCTAAGAGGCTTTCTTACGGTGTCTTTCCTACGCCCAGTAAGCTTCAAACAAATACGCGCTCGCACTAGGGCATGATCTGAATCTAGACATGTGCTCCAGAACGAGCGACAGTCCTCTATCGAACCCCTCCATCGGTGGCTGATGGCGATGTGATCAAGTTGAGTCCAACATTGAGGTGACTTTGGAGGTCGCCAGGTCAAGAGATGCTTTTCTTTATGCCTAAAGTTGGTGTTCGCTAAGAGTAGGCGGTTGTCTGAGCATAGTTGCAACAGACGGTCGCCACTGTCTGTACTCTCAGTCGCTACACCATAACATCCACCTAGATGTCTCTCCTGCTCACTTAGACTACCTACTTGAGCATTAAAGTCACCAGCCATTATTACTATATCAGAGCGCCTAGCTTTTTGGAGGAGGTCCGAGAGCTTTCTGTAAAACTCATCCTTAACCTCGTCTGAACTCCAGTCAGTGGGGGCATAGGCAGATACGACGAAAGGGCAACGGCGATTGTCCCTATCTTTCCGAGTCCTAACTGTCCCGTTTAGTCGGACAGCGCACAATCGACTATCTATTGGGATCCAGTCAAGGAGAGATTGTTCTGCTTTACGACTCAATGCTATGCCTACGCCAGCAAGAACCCCGGAAGCAGCATCAGGGCTACCGGATACACGAAGAGTAAATCGAGCTGCTTCTTTATTTTGACATGGTGTGGCCAGTGTATGACGTGACTCGGATCCTGTATGCGCGTTTCCGAGATCCAGCATACATCGATGGCACGAGATTCTAAAGTCCTAGCTAAGGAAGCCTGTTGCCCTATTTGACACAATGTCCGTACATTAAATGCTCCAACATGTAGTCTAGAGCGAGGTTTAAGGAGACCAGGAACGACGTTTCGCGAACTCGTATCGTCTGCATTAGCTGTGCACTGTGATGAATGAATGTGAGAAGAGATAGTCGTGGAGATAAGAGAGGTACTAGGGTTGTAGGAAGGATTTGATTTTGACCAATTTGGTCTCGCGTGCTGTTATAGGTATGAGGGCGGTTGTCACTTCCCGGCTGCCCACACCGTGGAAGGTTGTTTCTTGAGGAACCTGAAAAGGAAGATAGATTAGTGTTGGTGCGTGACTGCAGAGTCCAAGGGACAACTGCTTGAGGCCGGTCACGCACGGCCTTTTTATGAAATGTTTTTTGAGGATTAGCTCCGTTCTTAAAGGCCCTTAGTGGGCACCCTTACCGCCAGAGACGGAAATCCGTGAGTTAGGGGAGGTGTGACATTTTTAGGGCCGACCTTTTCTAACCCTTCCTTCCTTGTGAGAAGGCAGCATCGCTGCAGATGCTGGTTGTCCGAGGGAAACACCTTACTGCTGTCACACCCCTCTGCAGTCAGCAGTACGACTTCGCCCTCAGACCTTGAGTAGCTGCTTTTAGTCTCATCGTTCTCCAATCGACCTGCCTTGCATGGTAGAACCTTGAGGAACATATGTTCCAGCCAGTATAGCTCGGTTGGGTGATCACGATAGGCAAGCCCGATCACCACGTCAAGGTAGCAGCTACGGTCGGGTATCTCGAGGTCTACGTTAAACTTTTGTAATGAAGTCAAGTCCAGAGTTTTTTTGGTTCCCGTTTAAGCGTGGTCACAACCAGATAGTGATCTGAAGCTATATCAACAAGCCTTGTTGTCACATCTTCCAAGAACCTGAACTTTTACTGATGCAGATGTGATGGATCCGGTTCTCTGCAGTCGGGTCCGGTGACAACCATATGGCTTTTGTATGTGGTCGTAGTGACGGAAGTGGCACCACCTAAAATCATTTTGTTGGAGACTCACAGATTTGAAAAACTCTCTCCATTTTTGTCCGTTTTTCCCAGTCCATGACATCTCATGATACTTTTGTGCCCAGTGTTGTTCGTTCCAACCTTGGCGTTTAGGTCTCACATCCAGATGGTCAAATCCTTTACTGAACATTTCTCTACGACTAACTGCAGCTATTAATAAAACATCTTTATCACCTGCACTGCTAGAATTGGTGAGCGATTAGAACTGGATGACATTACCTGTGATCGCTTCCTTGGTTATTTTGAAAAATGTTAAGATTATCCTGGGTCCCCGAGATTATCAACACATAGGTGCTTCGCGTACTTTTTAGACAACACCAATCCAACTCAGCTGTTGTCGACTTCGTATATTTCATGTAACTATAATAATTCTTGTGAGGAGAATGTCAGCTTTCTCCATTTGGCAGCCGACACCTTCTGGATGAAAACCCTTCAACTAGCAGGTCAGAGTTTGAACAGTCAGGGAATTTTTAGCAACGTTCTTCCCTGTGGAATTGGATTGTTATTGCCATACCAAACCCTCCTTTTTGATCCAGGTTAGAGACTGACCCGGGACGAACAAAGCCATTAACAATAACCTGTTCAGTTCCAGATTCGAATTACCTACCTAAATAAATTATTCGAGTATTTGGAACCCATTTATGCTCGACATAGATGAAACAAGATTAAAGTTCTTGGTTTTAGAAGATGTATAGACCCTTGTTCGTCACATAGTATATTATTTAAATAAAGTATTGTAGAGGTTCTATCCAGATACCTACTTACTATTTACAGTAAAACACTGTTTTAATCTTAATACAGTAAGTAAGAAGTATTTGTTTGACACGAAGCAAATTTGTACACGAAATCCCTTATATACGCATTACATACGACGGAGAACAGAATGCAGCAGTAAACTTGAGCACGAATAATTTCACTACAAATAATGGCTCACTGATTCTGCAACTAGGTAATGTATTTCACGGTAAAATTTTAAAAAGGCATTTCAGCACTACCATAAACGCAGAATCAAGTATATGCTTTGTACGGGTTTTTTATGTTGATAAGATTCAATAATACCTTAACAGATATCAAAGTACGTACATGTACCCTTGATTGAAAATAAATTCCTAAACTATTCAACAGGTAGAAAAGCAAAAATAAAAAGGTTTTACCTTGAGAAATTCTCTACAGCTAATTTATGCGATGACTGAGCTAAATCAGTAAGGTTGTGCATTTCGGCCAAGGCTTCGATACCTAAACAATTTGTAACATCTAAATGACTCTTCATAAAATCAACACAATGTTTAATAGCTATTGGATAGTCAAGTAAACTAGCAGCGAGAAATATATCCTGTACAGTGGCTTCTGTTATTTCTAAGCAACCAAGGTACGAAAAATCAAGCAAGCGACGAAGAGACCAAGGAGAAATATAATTCAATGTAACTCGGGATGTTTGCTGTTCTTTATACGGTGATGAAAACATGGCCTATAAAAATAAATATAAATGAGAACTGTGTTAGGATTTAAATTCAACTGAATATACAACTCATATGTACATATTCTTTGCTAGCATACAATGAGTAACATCATAATAAAATTATTTTACTCAGTCAAGTTTCAAATTTCATGAAAATCTTGTACGGATTGAAGGTAGGCATTGTAATGAACTGACAGCAGCTGAAGAACAGTTAAAAACTAAAAAGTACTTGACAGCCATTAAATTATTGGCTGTCAACAACAAATCACCGACACTACATTTTGTCCAGAAGACCTAGGGAAGTCAATATCATTGAAGTGAACTATTACAAACGTAAATTACGCATAGATACACACAACGGTGGAATCGCACTTGACAGAACATGAAAAATATTGTCCAGACTGAACAACAGCAAATTTTCCTGTGCAGGCAAGGCAGAAATATTAAATCAAAAATATGCCATTACGAGATATTTGCATCTTTAAGTTTAATCATGGAGTTGTGTGACCGCTATTCAATAATGCTCTTCTTTGTTCTACTTAGGTTCTGTCTGATGCACTATAGAAGTTTCTGGTGAATTGGCAGGTCACTGTTTGATGGCAAATCCCGCCTCACTGATTCCTGTTCGACCAACCAGTAGTATCGCTAGTCTTAAATAAAAGATTTAATTCAAAGTAGGGTGCACTACCCAGCAGTCAATTACTAAGCCAATAATATAAACTGAAGTTATGATATAACTAACAACTCAAATCTAAATATTGGCAATACAGGTTTGAAATAATATTTAGTTTTAGTGTTGTTGCAGCTTTATCTGTCAGAATTTCACCCCTCTAATAGTTCCTTTAATTTACTAGTACAAAATTGTGCACATGCTTTTCGTATCTTAATTATACTCTAGATTATTCAAAATACTGGTAATTCCCACCATTTAGACATCGCTAAAAATCGATTTATTTTATTCTGATGAAATATGAACCTCGAAAAACAAAATATTTAGAGAATTCACTGGTGGTTTTTTATGGGAAACAAAGAGACTCGGATTATAAAACTATATTGAATATTAGATAGTCATAAGTCTAAAGAACTCCGACTGGAGCCGCTCTGGGGTTATTGCGCGTCCCAAGCCCGGATAAAGGCGGGTTGGCAACCACATCCCTTAGGAAACTAACTCGCTAAAAAAACGCCAGCCAGAAAAAATAATTCAAACCATTTAGACTCTATCCTGGCAGTTAGGTATTCATAAAAAAGAGCTATGACTTATCATGATGAAAGCCGAGTTCCTAAGGAAGTCACGAGGTCGATGCCCCTTCTGGCAACCAGAGCAAACATTAATATAGGTACATGGGATGGTCATAAAATATGGGAGAACGGTAGAGTCATACAATTTGTTGCAGAAGTGATAAACGATTACTAGGCAGGGATGGCAAATTAGTTGATGAAGTATTGAAACTTCATCAGTTGAGATGGTTGGGACATGTGTTGCGTATGTCTAAACACCGGCTGCCTAGATGAGCTATGTTTTGCGATGTAGGAGTAGGTTGAAAGAAAGCAAGAGGTAACCAAACCAAAACATGGTACACAAGCATGAAGTCACTGACAAGTGGACTGAGTCATGTTGGCAGATGTAGGCTACCTGGTTGGGGTCCGCGAGAAGAAAGTCACAGATGGTTAGAGACCTTGAACAACATGACTCAAAATCCTTCGCGACCGCGCAGGTGCATCCACACTTCGAGTTCTCTTAAATGCTGATATTTCGAACTCCTTATTTTAAATTTATTTCAATGAATTACACTTGAATGTTTTATTCGAACCCTAATCTTCTCTGTTACCGCTATTACTTACACTATAAGATTTGAACTGACATTTGTGTCTCTGTGTTAAAGAGGTATGGCAACCTGAACTTATATACATACGTACGATGTTCTACATTGTAACTGACTGACAGATTTCCTATCGCTTTCTCAACTTTATAAAGAGTCGGGCGACTTACGTCGATTTGCCATTCAGGATGACTGGAGACCGTGGGCAACCGAAGTGTGGCTGGAGGCCAGTTGAACTGATCCCTAAAGTGTTCTGCCAATCGGTCTAGTCTCCTGGATGGACCTGCGCGGATCTTATGGAGTCACGGCTCAAAGAACAGATAATGGCGACCGTCTGTTACAACTATGCTCAGATAACCGCCTATTCTTAGCAAACACTAACTCGAGGGATAAGGAAAAGCATATTTTCACCTGGCGACCCCCTAAGTCGTCTCAACGTTGGACTCAACTAGATCACATCGCCATCAGCCACCGATGGAGGGGTTCGATAGAGGACTGTCGCTCGTTCTGTGGCACATGTCTAGATTCAGATCATGCCCTAGTGCGAGCGCGTATTTGTTTGAAGCTTACTGGGCGTAGGAAAGACACCGTAAGAAAGCCTCTTAGGGTTTTACTTAATGATAATAAGGCGAAAAATATATTTCAGGAACAACTAGAAAGACAGTTAGGCGACCAATTAAGCGATTCCCATCCGGAAGCAGGATGGAATGATATCAAAAAGGCTGTGGAAACAGCAGTGATATCTGCTAGCAAGGTATACCATAAGGCTAGAATGAAACCGTGGATTTCAGTCGCATCCACGGAACTGATGGATGCTCGAAAACGCATCCCACATGACTCTGAACATGATGAAGAACGAAGTCAGCTTCGGCGCAGGCTGATAAAAAGCCTGCGTAACGACCGTGAACAGTGTTGGGTGGCGAAAGCGAGAGAGATGGAAAAGAGAACGGCGATAGGCAACTATTCAGACTCATCAAGAAAACTGTCATTAAGAACCCAAATGTGAGTGAGACTGTTTCGGAAAAGGGTGGTCTTGTTATCCGTTCTCAATCGTGAAAAGCATACTAGAGAAAACCAGGATGGTTTCAGACCTGGACGTGGCTGTATAGACCACATCTTCACACTACGACAGGTTCCGTAACACAGACACACATTTAGGCATCCTACAATAGTTGTGTTCCTGGACCTTAGGGAGACATTTGACTCTGTCGATCGTGAGGTTCTGTGGCAGTGTCTGTCATTGAGGTGTACCAAAGAAGTACACTAACCTAATACAGGCTTTCTACTCGAACACTACAGGTCGAGTGAGAACTTATGGTGAACTGTCATCGGAGTTCTCTGCTTCAAGTGGTGTCCGTCACGGATGTCCACTTTCCCTGTTTTTGTTCAATTTTGCCATAGACATGCTCCTAGATATAACCTTATCTTTGTCTGAATTTTCAGGAGCGGACCTTCTACCAGGAAAATCGCTTGCTGACTTAGAATATGCCGATAACATAGTCTCCTACTTGGTGAAGACGCCAACAAACTGCAGTCTTCTGATTACCCTGAGCAGCAATGCATGTTCGGGATGCGGTTTTTCTCCTCAAAATGCAAAATGTTGCTTCAAGATCGGCTTGCGTCGACACCTGAACTAGTGATAGGGAGTGGAGTAGTCGAACGTGTTGAACACTTCACTTATCTGGGGAGTCTCATCAGTGCTGATGGCCTGGTGACTGACGAAATCTCAGCACGGATACAGAAGGCTTGATTGGTTTTTCCGAACCTGCATCACTTATGGCGTAGGCGAGATATCCGTTTGCTGACTAGAGGACGAGTGTACTGTGCAGTAGTCCGCTCCGTCCTACTTTATGGCTGTGAAACATGGCCAATCGGAGTAGATATTCGTAGGTTACTGATTTTCGATCATAGGTGTCTCCGAAGCATTGCTCGTGTATCCTGGTACAACAGAGTAAGCAACGCTGTTATTAGGAAATGGGTGCTAGGTAAGAATGGCAGATCAATAGATGAAATATTAAAACTTCAGTTGAGGTGGTTGAGACATGTGTTGCGTATGTCTAACCACCGGCTGCCCCGTCGAGCTATAATTTTGCGGTGTAAGAATCGGTTGAACGAAAGCTAGGGGCGGCGAGACCAAAACATGGCAGAAATACACTAAGTCATTGACAAGTGGACTGAGTCATGTCGGTAAGTGTCGACTACCTGGTTGGGGTCCACGAGATGATAATAATCGATGGTTAGAGACCCTGAATGATATGGCTCAAAACCGTTTACTATGGAGCAGGTGCATTCATTCTTTGTGTTCTCTCGAATCCTAAACTTTTAAATTCTTCATCACTTTATCCTTAACTTTTTAAGTCTACTTCACCAGATTCTACTTCTTGAATAATATCTTCTAATCCTAACCTCTCCGACTACTGCTAATACCTTTACTCTATTGGATTTAAATTGACAATTACATCTCTGTGCTAATGTGGTATGGCAACACGAACTGATGTACGTACGTACATAGTTCTATGTTGCTACTGATTGATTGAAGAACAATGAAACAGGTGAGTAGAGCACTTTAGGAAACTCTTGAATCAATCAGCCCCAATGAACTCACCCAACACCGAGGCAGCATCCACAGACCTCCCAATCGATGTTGGCCCACCAACAATTGAAGAGATCAGCACGGCTCTCAGACAAATCAAGAGCGGCGAAGCAGCCGGACCAGGCAACATTCCAGAAGAGACATTGAAAGCAGAAGTAACAGTAACTGCAAAAACACTGCACATTCTCTTCAGCAAGATTTAAGATGAAGAACAAATATCAACAGACTGGAAAGAAGGATACCTGATCAAAATAACAAAGAAAGGCGATCTCAGCAAGTGTGAGAACTACAGAGGTATCACTCGTCTCTCAATACCAGGCAGTCTTCAACAGGTATTGTTAAACAGTTGGAAGGACTTCGTAGACGCCCAACTTTGAGATCAACAGGCTAGATTTCGTAAAAATCGATAGTCTACCGACCAAATCGCAACATTAGGGATCATTGTGGAACAATCAATTGGACCGAACTTACCACTCTACATCAATTTCATTGACTACGAGAAAGCACTGGATAACGAGGACACGACAACACCATGGAGGCATCTTCGACACTACGGCGTGCCTGAGGATAGTCAACGTGATACGAAATTCTTATGATGGATTAAACTGCAATATCGTGCACGGAAGACAGCTGACTGTCTCGTTCGAGGTGAAGACCGGTTCCAGACAAGGTTGCTTACTCTCACGCTTTCTCTTTCTAATGGTGATCGACCGGATTATGAAGATATCAACATCTGGAGGGAAGCGCGGGATACAGTGGACAGACAGAATGCAGCTGCACGATCCGGATTTCGCAGATGATCTGGCTCTTCTATCGCACACGCAACAACAAATGCAAGAGAAGACAACCAGTGTAGCAGCAGTCTCAGCAGCGACATGTACAAAAGGGGAAGCGAGATTCTCCGAAACAACACAACATGCACCAATCAAATCACTTTTGATGGAGATGCCTTGGAGGACGTCAAAACTTTTACTCATCTAGACAG